TCTCTCTCTCTCTCTCTCTCTCTCTCTCTCTCTCTCTCTCTCTCTCTCTCTGTGTGTGTGTGTGTGTGTGGGTGTGTGTGGGTGTGTAATGTTTTAACTAAGGGAGTGACATTTTATAAAGAAGAAATAAACTTTTAGATGCAATTTAGATGAATACTAAAATTAAATGTGGGGAACATGTTTATTTCTTGTTCGACTAGCTGATAACCTGTTGTTGTCTGGGTATTTATTTTTAGGAGGGAAATGTCCGGACCAAACATATTTCTAATGTTGGATTTTCCCCCTTATCAGAGGGAGCCCCCTTGTGAAGCACCTTACCATGGCAACTGCACTGCGCTGTACGTAGAAGCCATGTTATGGCATACAGTAGAAGCCATTCGAAGGCACAACAGGCTATATTGTAATAGAACACCCCCCTTGTGGGTCTTACCCCCACAGTATTTTTTTTCCAGGTGTGTACCAAGTTTGGTTGAAATTGCTCATGGTATTTCAGCATAACTCTGCATAACTCTGGAACACACACACACACACACACACACACACACACACACACGTTTTTATATATATATAGATAGATAGATTATATACCATCCAATTCCAAGCAAATCTGGGCAGGTTCCCATATACTAAATAAGTTAGAATGGTATAATAAGAATTAATACACAACAGCAACGAGACTAACTTAAAAAATTAAAAAAGGAACAAGACAATGGGCAGGCAACCTATAAAATTCCATGAAAGGGCCTACAAGCAGATCTTTGTTGCTGTCTGAAACAACAGCAGTATGACAGCCATCCAGAACTCAGAAGATACATTGTTCCAGGGGGAAGGCACTTCAATAAAGAAGACACACTCCTTGGATCTTGATAGATGACATTGTTTAATCGAAGAAACACAACTGGGAGACAATTAGAGAATATACTGTAGATCATAACCAGCACTTTGAGTCGAACATTTTAAAATTCAAAAACAAACTGAAACAATGGATAAACATTTATAAAGGTAAAGGTAAAGGTTCCCCTCGCACATATGTGCTAGTCATTCCCATCTCTAGGGGGCAGTGCTCATCTCCATTTCAAAGTCCAAGAGCCAGCACTGTCTAAAGATGTCTCCATGGTCATGTGGCCAACATGCCTAAATGTCGAAGGTGCATGGTACACTGTTACCGTCCCACCAAAGGTGGTTCCTATTTTTTCTACTTGCATTTTTACATGCTTTCAAACTGCTAGGTTGGCAGAAGCTGGAACAAGTAATGGGAGCTCACTCCATTACGTGGTGCTAGGGATTTGAACCGCCAAAGTGCCGACCTTTCTGATTGATAAACTCAGCATCAAGATCACTGTCGTTTGCCATAGATGAACTGATGAACCATGGAAAGCTGCTATAAGTGAATTAAGTCACGATTTCCTGGACTACAGTCCCTATTTTTACAATTATATATAGGATTTAGTTCATTTTAATTTGCTTCCATGTGAGGAAGAGGAATCAGACCGATGAAAGTACTGTAGCAATGGAATCCCCCCTTCTTTTCTATGTGCATCTTTACATCATGCATGTGCCAAAGGAGTTGAGCATGCAGTATGATGCTAAAATGTTGTTTTTGTCATTCTGAAAAAAGCAAAAGATCCTGCAGATTTGCTACTTACTTTCATGAATTATGAGTACACCAGGCTAAGGTGAACCAAAGTGATTTCAAAAACACTTTATGAAGTAGCTATTTCAACCTCCCAAAATTCTTGAGGTTTCAGAGGGCTGGATTTTTTTCCTAGTGACAATAAGCATCTCTTTCAATCCCAGTCTAAGAAATTTAGCATGGCATGATGTTTTTTTTTTAAAAAATAAACTTCTTTGGATCCTTAACTATGGACAATCCCAGGAGCACTCAATTCCGTAAAATGTAAAGATCGTGACATGAGGGATAAACTGTGTTCCCGCAAATGGAGGCAATTTTAAAAGAAACTAAAAACTCATCAGCAACTTAGCTGTGTGACAATTCAGAGGCAACTTACAAAACTGCTTCCAAGAGCTTGCCAAGGGAGCCAGATGCTCTTGTTAGAAAAATAGCTCTCTGCTCAGCATCTGGGTTCTTTAAAAAAAAAAAGATAAATCCCACGTACAATTGCATACATCGTTTGAAGATAGCAGATAGCATACACGGTTTGAAGATAGCAGAAGTTTAAAAGTTATTAACTGGATTAAGTTACCTACTTTAAAAATTGTTCTGATGGAAGGGGAAAGCTGAAATAACAGGTTTTAGGCATCTTTTCCATGCACATTTTATGCATTTAACATCTCCTTTGAACATATGTTACCTGTTATGATTGCAAATATTGTAAATATCAATGTTTCTATATTCAAAATAATATTGCAGCAAAACTACACATTTTTATATAACATGTCTGTAGGATCATAATAATAGTGCTTAAGACTTATATAGCACTTCACAATGTTTTACAGGCCTCTCTAAGAAGTTTACAGAGTCAGCATATTGCCCCCAACTGTCTGGGTCCTCATTTTACCAACTTCAGAAAGATGGAAA